CCTACGCAAGTCACATTGGCGGACGGTCACACGCACAAGTCAATCGACCGGTGCATTGACAGCGTCCCAGTGTACTTTGCCCCTCACGCAAGTGATGCGGTGTCCTTTGACATTCTGGACACCAAATTCGACATGATCTTGGGCATGTCATGGCTGCGAAGCAAGGATCACCCGGTGAACTTCTTCAACTGCACCGTTCACGTTCCTGACCGGAACGGAGTATTAGTTCCATGCACGGTGCCTCTTCCTCATCCTTCGATCAGCTGCCACGTGGTATCCGCCACAAGCATGCGAGCTTCCATCATCAGAGACGACATCRAGGAGATGGGGGTGTGTTTTCTCCACACCCTCCCGCCACATGACGCTTCATCGACGGACTCACCTTCGGATCCACGCATCATCGAACTTCTCAACGCCTACAGCGACGTGTTCGAAGGCCCGCACGGAGTAGTACCGGATCGGCCCATCCGCCACGAGATCATCCTCGAGGATGGGGCCGTACCTCCGCGCGGTTGCATCTATCGAATGAGCGAGGAAGAGTTAAGTGTGCTTCGGGCACAACTCGACGACCTTCTGGAGAAAGGCTGGATTCGGCCTAGCTCATCGCCATACGGTGCTCCTGTTCTCTTCGTCCGGAAAAAGAACAAGGATTTGCGGTTGTGCATCGATTATCGCAAGCTCAACACGCAGACGATCAGAAACGCCGGCCCTCTCCCACGCATCGACGATCTTCTCGAGTGACTGGGCGGCGCCAAGTTTTTCTCCAAGCTGGACCTCAAGTCGGGATATCACCAACTCGAGATTCGCAAGGACCGTTACAAGACCGCGTTTAAGACGTGCTATGGGCATTTCGAATGACTGGTCATGCCATTTGACCTTACGAATGCCCCGACCACTTTCCAAGCGGCTATGAGAACGTAGTTCCGACACATGCTGGATCGATACGTACTTATCTAYCTCGACGACATCCTGGTGTACATCTGGAGTTTGGAGGAGCATGTGGAACACCTGCGCACCGTTTTGGAGCGGCTACGACAGGCCAAGTACAAAGCAAACCGCGACAAGTGCGAGTTCGCACGACAGGAGCTGGAGTACTTGGGACATTATGTGACGCCGCAAGGCATCCGTCCGCTTGCGGACAAGATCGAGGCCCTACGAGTATGGCCCAAGCCCACCAACACCACAGACATTCGTTCATTCATGGGATTGGCGGGCTATTATCAGCGATTCATCACCGGATACTCCAGGATTGCTGCACCTATGACGAGGTTACAGTCGCCAAAGGTGCCATTCGTATTTGATGACGACGCACGCCGATCATTCCAAGCACTTAAGACGGCTATGCTCATGGCACCCGTCCTTAGCATCTATGACCCCACCTTGCCGACGAGAGTGACTACGGAGGCTTCTGGCTGTGGCATTGGGGCAGTCTTGGAACAGCACGACGGCGACGACTCGCACCCTGTGGAGTATTTCAACCACAAAGTGCCTCCCATCAACTCGCTTGATGATGCAAGGAAGAAGGAGCTACTCGCGTTCGTCATGGCTCTCAAGCGATGGCGGCACTTCCTCCTTGGGCGTCGTAGGTTCACATGTGTTACGGACAACAATCCATTGACCTGCTACAAGACGCAGGATACGGTGAGCAGCACGATTGGACGATGGATGTACTTCATCGACCAATTTGACTTCACACCGAAACATCTTCCCGGCCTCTCAAATCGCGCAGCAGATGCACTCTCGCGAAGACCCGATCTTTGCGCTATGACACATCATGCCTTCGCATTCGACGAGGAGCTTCAGCGACACTTCATCCGGGCATACGAGTCTGATCCGGACTTCGCCACGCTGTATGCACAGCTATCTTCGGATCACCCGCCGGCCAGCCATTACCGCATTGCCGACGGGCACTTGCTCCTCCACTCGGGAGACAAGGACTTACTATGTGTCCCACGCGACCGTCATCTTCGGACTCGCCTCCTCGGCGAGTATCACGATTCGCGACTCACCGACCATTTCGGAGTCAACCGCACTATTGCACGGCTTCGACAACGATTCCGATGGCCTGACCTCATTACCGATGTCACTCGGTATTGCGACTCATGCGAAGTTTGCCGACGCAGCAAACCCCGCAACCGCAATCCCTATGGCGAGTTAC